CCCTCGGCCCTTAAAGGGGAAAGGTTGCCTACCCCTGCACTAAAGTCTCTTCTGCTGTCCCTTAACACTCTTCAAAGTTTCCGCACCATCTCTCTCGATGGTTCCTTATTCCCTCAGGCCCCCCTTCCCAATTCTTTCCCTCTTTCTCTTGTTGAAGGGAGAGCACTTTGTTCTTCGCTCAGAGCAAGCTGACCAAGTGTCCTGATGGCAAAAGGAAAGCAAGGCCCTGCAATAGGGGGAACCTGACCAAAGAAAAGCCAAAAACACCAACATAAAATATAAATCCCTGCTTCTTTGTCCCGCTCCAAATGGAGGATGTTTTGGAATTCCTCCTGGACATAAGGGTGAAATGAAGGGGGTCCTGCAAAAGAAGGATGTCTGGTCACGCTGGCTCAAAGGAGTGATGGAGAGCTGTCCATCCAGGGAGCTGCTCACAAAGATAACTATCTGCCTGGAAAAGCGTCAGCTCCATTCCTCCATTTGCTTTAGCTAAAGGTTTCCATCCCTTTCTTTGCCTCGCACTTTCCATGGTCGCTAGGCTTGACTGCCAAAAGAAATGGAGGAAGATGACACCTTGTTGTTATTAAGTGCCTTCAAGTCATTTCCAACGTACATAGACCCTAAGGTGAACCTATTCTGGGAGTTTTCTTGGCAAGGTTCTTCAGAGATGGTTTGCCATTACCTATGGCTGAGAGAGTGTGTCTGGCCCAAGGTCTCCCAGTGAGTTTTAATGGCTGAGTGGGAGAAACTGAACCCTGGTCTCCAGAGCTGTAAGCCAACACTGAAACCACTATGCCACACTACCCCCCTTTTCTTTGCAGGCAAGGCCCAGCATGGAGTTGTGGGACTTGTGTTCAAGTAAAGGAGGCAAGGAAGGCAGGAGCCAGGGTGACAAAGTGGTTTGAGCATTGGACTGAAACTCTAGAGACTAGGGTTCGAATCCCAGCTACACCATGGAAACCCACTGAGTAACCTTGGGCAAGACACACACTCTCAACTCCACAGGATAGCCATGGCAAACCTTTAAGAACAAAGCTTGCCAAGAAAACCCCAGGATAGTTTGCCTTTTGAGGAGAAAGAAAAGAGCAATACTATGGACTCTTTCAGAAGAAAAGAGAAAGCTAAAGGAATCCCAAATGAAGACAGATGTCCTTCTCCAGGGAAATATACAGGATTAGAAAGTGAAGATGAGACACAATGTAATATTAATATGTTGCAATTAGTATAGTACCAAGTAGGCCTATCTGTATTTTGTTTGTATAATGTTTTATTTTGTATTGCTCTTTGTAAGAGCCTAGTGTATCATTGTGCTCCAGAAAGTAGGAAGGTAGAAACAAGGTTTTTACAGAGCGGACTGGGTGCTGTATTTTTTAAAATGTATTTTAAACCCTTTCATCTTTTTAACTATGTTTTATTCTTTCATATGCAATCTCTTTTAATATTGTAATAATTTAATTCTGTTTTAATTAACACTTTTCTCTGTTTTTAATTGTACTGTTTTTAATCTTGTACGCCACTCTGAGTCCTGGTTTTGGGGAAAAGGTGGGATATAAATAAATACACTCGTCCCTCTCCATTCATGGATGTGGAATCTGAGGTCTTGATCCTTTACGGATGGCAAGCTGGCAGGGATAAAATGGTGAATCAATGGCAACTTCCATATTTGCGTTTTTCCAGATGGGGGGGTCGGGAATGGATTCCCCGCAGATCGGGAGGGACACATGTATAATAATAATAATAATAATAATAATAATAATAATAATAATAGAAAGTAGCCAATTCTCAATAAGTCTGTGGTTATGAGGTTACAACCAAAGAACTACAGTTGACCTTCCACATTTGCAGCTTTGACTTTTGTGGCTTTGATCAATATATTCTCTCTAGGAATCTCTGAATCCTCCAGCACAACTCTGCAAAAAGTTGACCATAGAGTTCTGCTGGAAAACCTAGGAGTTCCTAGTGAGAACATTTCTCTAGTTATTTGTAGGTCCTCCTACAAATAACTGTGTTCTGTTCTGACAGTAGCCTCTTGTCCTTGATATGTGATGCTCCTGTACATGATTTTATGATCAGCTTCTGGCAGGTGTTAACCACAGAGTTGCCCTGGATATTCCTAGAGATGGGTTCTTGCAGGTAAAAAGAGTAGTGCTTTTTATTTGCGGTCTTTCCACATTCACAGGGGTCCTTCCCTCCTGACTCCAGTGAATGTGGAGGGACCACTGTGTACAGGATGATTTCTACAGAATGGTGCAAAAGTCAAGCTGTTCTTACTCGGTTTTGGCACCATTCTTTTTGAATCACCCTGCTGTACTTTTTGTTGTTGTTAATTGCTCTCGAGTCGATCTTGACCCATGGTGACCCTATGGATGAGACATCTCCAAGACCCTCTGTCCTCCACTGCTCTGTTTAATTCCTGCAACCCCTTAATATCCATGACCTTCTTAAGAGTCCATCCATCTGGCATGTGCCCTTCCTCTGTCCCTACTTCCCTCCAGCTCCCTCAACATTATTGTTTTTTCTAATGAGTCTTCTCTTCTCAGGATGTGTCCGAAGTATGACAACCTCAATTTGGTCATCTTGGCTTTCAGGGAGGTTTCCAGCTTGATCTGCTCTAAGACCCATTTGATTGTCTTTTTGGCTGTTCATGGGATCCTCAGCACTCTTCTCCAGAACCACATTATCTCAAATGCATTGATTTTCTTCCTATCATCTTTCATAACTGTCCAGCTCTCACATCTATTCATGGTAATAGGGAACACAATGGCTTGTCTGATTCTAACTTTTGTGCTGAGTTGTATATCTTTGCATTTTAGAATATTTTCTAGTTCTTTCATAGCCACCCTCCCCACTCTTAATCTTTTACTGATTTCCTGGCTGCAGTCCCATTTCTATCAATGTTTGGTC